GCTTTATGATAAGCTCAGGTCCCTGCTGCTTCAGTCATGGGAAACCTGAGCGCAGTGGGCTCCAGCAGAGTGAGTAAATTTGCTCATAAAAAATGTTTTTTTTTTTTTCTTCTCTCCGCTTTCTTTCCAGTTATGCTTTCAGGAAGGCTGCCAGCCCTAATCACTTGCAGTTTTGGCACAGATGCTCATTTAAAATGAGTGTTGAAGTTTTTCAAAATAATGTTTTTTAGTACTCTAAGTGGGGAAAGCAGTAGACCTATATAAAATAATAAAAAAAACATGCAAAAATAGTAGTCTTATTCTATACGCACACAGTAAGTTCTGTTATGCATGAAACCTTCCTGTTTATTCTATGAATGTACCCTAGTGTTGTTCTAATCAAGTTTTAAAGTGTAATTTGCTGAACAACTTATTCATCAATGAACTGTCTGGAAGCAAACTCTTTGTTTTACCATGTAAGCCTCATTTATAGACAATATAAGTAAAATTCAATGTTCTAAGTTTAGGACATATTTTTGTTTTTAATTTGTTTGTAATAAGTAAGATTTGATTTCAACACACTGTTTAGGCTTCCGTAGCATTGCCAGGAAGTTCTGCGGTTTAGGAAAAAATGAGAATAAAATAAAATAAAAGTGAGAATGAGATCAAAGGAGCAACGATGGGGCTGTATGGTTTTTTTTAACCACTGGCATTGCAGACAAGCCATCACACATGAAAACAGTCTACTCCTCTTTATTTTATAGAGTTAGAATATAAGAAGGTAAAACTGAAAAGTTGTATTCCGAACACCAGGATAAGAGAGACTTGTTATTCACTAAGGTAACTCCCATTGATCTTCATATACCCTTATATTGAGTCTGCCATTCTATGCATACCCTATGATGCTCCACGAATGACCGTAATCAAATTCTGTATTTGCATTTTGTGTTGAAAATGGTAACATAAAAGCAGTGCTTCAAATGTATGTATGATTTAAAACAAACTATACTCTCCAAAGGCAAATAAATACGTATGTACCTTTGTATGTAGCTTTTTTCTGCTATTTTTATAGTAATTTCAATAGTTGGAAATGCTGAGGGCCTTGAGTTAATCTTTGCCTTCACACAGAACTCTTTAGTGCAGTGGGAATTGTGGGGTCTTCTAATATAATTCTTGAGGTCTTAACCTTTCTATTTAAAAGCCCTAAGGCTACCTACTGCATGTCAGGATTCCAAGATGTATACAGTCCCTGACAAAGGAACATAAACCCTGTTCGTTTTTTAACCTTAACATAAAAACATAAATATTATGTAAAACCATTTTATTATTCACAGCTTTGAAATGAAGTAACTGTGAAATTCTATTTAAGTCTATAAAAAAATAAAATAAAAAAACATACATGACATTTTATACTGTGCATTCTAACAAAATACATAAAAAAGGGAACAGCTTTTAGGGAACTTATTTCTGAATATCGTCATGTATTCTTAATGCTGCTCAGGATTTTCTACCAGTTTTTTTTTTTTTTTAACAAATACGCTTAAGCAGGTTTTTAAGCATAATTTTTGTGAGGACTTACTTGGGTCTAGGTGTAGGACTAAACTGTAAATTTAGCTTAGTTGACGTTTAGAGTTAAATATGTATCAGTAATGGTAAGGTCCCATGTTTAACCATATAAATAAATGAAATATAAAAGAAAGTCAATGTAAAGTCCCCACAAGGAAGACTATGTATGGGTTTGTTAATGCATTTAATACTTTTGGGCCCCTTTTTCTTATAAAAAAGGAAGTTGTGCGGACTGCTACTTATGGGGCCTGATGCCTTAACCCTATGAGGGGAAATGCTGTTTTCGGGTCGGGGGTCATGTTTTGGACCGAGGTTTGAATTATGTTTAGTTTGGGGCATTAAAAGGGATTTTTTTTGCACTCATGCTACAAGCATGCTTGCTGTTAGGAACTGCTTTCTATGGGTCAATGCAATCAGCTGGTTTTCCTTAGGACCCTGTCACACCTTGCCGATTTAGCCGCATACGCTAAACTTTCTATGTATTTTTTCAGTTTTGGGCATACACATAACTTATCCATAACGAGTCCAAAGCATATGTGCATCGACACTCTAACTGCATAGCACACTGCAATGTAATGCCCATGAAATGATGCACAAGCCAGACCTGAGGGGGGCAGCAATGTGCCTGGCCTGCATGAAAAGATTTATTTGATTGCTGTTCACCCCCGCCAAAAAAAAAAGAATAAATAAAAAGTAAAAAGAAAAACAAAGAAAGAAGCTTTGCAGTTGCAGCAGTTTCAGAGTCATGTCTCCTAGGAAGTTTGTTGGTCGTGGGCATGAACACAGGCAGGATCCACCACACTCACCTTATCGCTCACCTTATGATACGGATGTTTCCTCTTGTCAACACCCTTTTTATAGCAAAACGCTGCTAATTCGCCATTAAATGGTAGCTTACGTTTGAAACACGTTCAGCAGTCGTCTGGAACACGTCAAATACGTTTATATACAGGGCAGACCAAAAGTTTGGATGCTCCTTCTCATTCAAAGAATTTATTTTCATGACTATGAAAATGTAAAATTTACACTGAAGGCATCAAACTGTGAATTAACACATGTTAAATTGTATACTTAACAAAAAATTTTGAAACAACTGAAAATATGTCTTATATTCTAGCTTCTTCAAAGTAGCCACCTATTGCTTTGATTAATGCTTCGCACACCCTTGGAATTCTCTTGATGAGCTTCAAGAGGTAGCCACCTGAAATGGTTTTCACTTCACAGGTGTCGCCTGTCAGGTTTTATAACTGGGATTTCTTGCCTTATAAATGCGGTTGGGACCATCAGTTCTGTTCTGCAGGTGGATACAGAGCTGATAGTCCTATTGAATAAACTGTTAGAACTTGTATTATGGCAAGACAAAAGCAGCTAAGTAAAGAAAAACTAGTGGTCATCATTACTTTAAGAAATGAAGGTCAGTTAGTCTGAAAAAATGATAAAACTGAGTTTACCCAAGTGCAGTCGAAAAACCACCAAGCGCTACAAAGAAAATGGCTAACATGTGGACTGCCCCAGGAAAGAAAGACCAAGAGTCACGTCTGCTGCGGATCATAAGTTCATCTGAGTCACCAAACTCAGAAATCGCAGGTTTACAGCAGCTCAGATTAAAGATCAGATCAATGCCACACAGAGTTCTAGCAGCAGAAACATCTCTAGAACATCAGTTAATAGGAGAGTTTGTGAATCAGGCCTTCATGGTAAAATAGCTGCTAGGAAACCACTGCTAAAGACAGGCAAAAAAGCACAAGAGACTTGCTTGGGCTATAGAACAAGGAATGGACATTAGACCAGTGGAATTCTGTGCATTGGTCTGATGAGTCCAAATTTGGTTCCAAATACTGTGTCTTTGTCTCTACATGCCTGGTTACATGCCTGGAGGAGGAGGTGCGATAGTGTGAGGGATATATTCAAAATTGAGGGCATACTGAATCCGGAATGGCTACCATAGCGTCTTGCAGCAGCATGCTATTCCATCCGGTTAGCGTTTAGTTGGACAATCATTTATTTTACAACAGGATAATGACCCCAAACACACCTCCAGGTTGTGTAAAGGAGTGCTGCACCAGATGACCTGGCCTCACAATCACCAGACCTGAACCCAATTGCGATGGTTTGGAGTGAGCTGGACCGCAGAGTGAAGACAAAAGGGCCAACAACTGCCAAGCATCTTTGGGAACTCCTTCAAGACTGCTGGAAGACCATTTCAGGGGACTACGTCTTGAAGCTCATCAAGAGAATGCCAAGAGTGTGTGAAGCAGTAATCAAAGCAAAATGTGACTACTTTGAAGAACCTGGAATATAAGAAATATTTTCTGTTGTTTCACACTTTTTTGTTAAATATATAATAATGTGTTGATTCATTGTTTTGATGCCCTCAGTGTCAATCTTAAATTTACATAGTCATGAAAATAAAGAAAACTACTTGAATGAGAAGGTGTGTCCAAACTTTTGGTCTGTACTGTACGTTGGAGATAAGTTCTAGATAAGTTACGCATAAGTTATGCAAAGGTTAGTGATAGGTTTTGGATAAGGTAGACACCAGGACTTATGAGTAACTTACTGTTAACATATGTCAACAATCAAAACACTTACTTGTAACTTGTGTATATTCATGTAATGTACCTAGGACCCAAAAGTCAACCAGACACAATCTATAACATTTAACAAATGTGTTAATATATTCGAAGTGAAAAGGAATCCAATCAGCAACGCGAAGAGGAATTTCTGAGGAAGAGAGATCAGGTTAGGTGATGGGTTGGATTTCAATGGGAATTGAGCAAACAGAAATAAAAACAGAATCTGTGTGTTAACGATGACACTGTCTGTGGTTTCACAACAGGGATCTTAATTATGCTTGGTTCAGTGGTGACAACACCGCTGACTTTTACAACGTTGAGGGAGAATGCGCTGCTCACAAGAACATATCCAGATAGAATAACAATCAGGAACTGACTTTGAGGCAGATTCTCCATCTTGGAATTCCAGGAGGAAAACAGAACTCACTGGCTGTGGAGCAGAAACAGGGTTTCAGGTGTCCGAAGGAAAGGATCAAAAGTCAAAGGGAAAAAAACAGGTTGTTGACGAGAAATTAGAAAGCTCAGAGTATTTTGCAAGGGCAGGCAAAGGGGAAGGCAAAGACGCTAGATGTCTACTCACTGTGAGGCTTTCGAATAATCTGGCAACAGTGACTAGTTAGCGGACTGGTTACACAGGGACAACAGGTAGAAAATATAAATGCTAAAGAGAGGAGGAGGAACTGCACAGGTGGAGTGAATGAGTAATTAGGGTGACAGGACCAGAGCTGAATGTTCAAAAAAAAAAAAAAAAAAAAAAAAAAAAAGAAAGAAAAAAGGTAGCACTGTTGCCAGAAACATAACATTTGTCAACAGAATTTGTTTAGCTTTATTAGCCTTAATCTATCAAGAAAATGTTGCCCAGAAGGATGGCATGTATGTCCACAAAAAGCATTTTTGGTCATTGGGTTATTAGTTCATTTTTAAATTGAATTAAGACTGATAACTTTAAAATATGATGCATAAAGATATAATAGAAAAAAACAAATACTGCTTTTTTTACCTGGTGTTAGTTGTTTATTCAATAACACTAGCTTCTTCTTTAATTGCTGAACAGGGCATAGGACTCATTGTGTGGGTGTGTATTGGGGGTGTGCAAACGTCATTTTGTACCTACAGGGGAATAAAGCCATAATGGACCTGGTGGCACATTGGCAATAGTTTCTCAGATAATGGTAGCTTTTGGAGTGCAGAATGTTCAATATATCCCTGTTGCTGTTACTAATCTTTTTAGATTTCTCACAAACATCAGAGCATCGCTCTGTAACACACTATGCCAGATTTGTAGAGCTAATCAGCTTTCCAGCCAACAATGTATTCATGGCTGGCATAAGGGCTCTTAAAAATCTTTGGACTTACCTCAAGACAACTCTTTAGCATGTTTTTCTAAAATTGATAACACAGGATCTCCTTCAGCACCTTGGATGTTACAGCAGTTTTAAACTCTTGGCAAATGCTGGCTGTTTTGATGATCAACTAAGCTCCTACAGGCGAAGGGCGAGCCTACGTTTGTGTTTATGCACTGCTACTGTGAAGAGTTGTCTGTGACAAGGGTTGCCAGGGTGTTGCCAAAGATAAAAAAGAAGAGAAATTGCAGTTGTTTCTAATTGATCTTCTCAGCTCCTCTAATCTCTTTTTCGTTTAGCTTGTTTGCTAATTTGGGCAATTGCTGTGTCCTTTCCTTCATCTTACGTACTGGAGGGGGCTGCACATATTTTCTCTTGATATGAAAAGTGTCTGATGTTGCACCAAGCTGACTATAGCCATTGGGTGGATACTTATCAGCACAGATACTTATCAGCTGCATTAGATAGGTAGAACAAATACTTAGACCATCGGTGGGTTCGGCTTGAAACATCCGCATTTTGGGAATCCTTTCAAACCTCCATAAGGCCATTCCAACCCTGTCTTCAAAGTTTCTACTCCTTGACTACTTGGTGCATGGGTATGAAGCATGGGTGTTTTAGTCGATGCTCACATTTAGTGCTTCAGGAAACAACACTGAAATTAGATGAGTGTAGGGACAGAAATAGAATATAATGTGATCTGGCATTAGTTACAGAGGTTAATGAATGTATGAAACTTTAACCATGAACCCATACATTTCCTACATATTGTAATTTTCTGGCACTGGGGCAGACAGCATCTTTTGTGGGGCAGATCAACCCCCTTTGGATAATGATAGGGGAAATGCTGAACTTAGATAATCACACCTTAACAATCGCACATGCCTGTAACTGTCATAATATCACATTTTCAAGTGCTGACTCAAGATCCTCCAACAGATAGGTTGAATATATGCGCCATAAACAGGTTACTATTTTCAAAATAACAATTTCCACAGCAATGTATCGGCTGTCTGTCATGAAGCCATTTTTGGGTAATTTTACCTGCTAGAAGAATAATGGCCATTAGAAACCCAGAGCTTACAGTAGTTTACAACGATCTTAAAATAAATACCTTTTTAAAAATGTTTTTTTCTAATATTAATTGTATTAAAAGCTTGATTAATTTGGGAACAAACTTTGCCACAGCAGCAGGACAGATGCATAGAAAGATGAAGCTGGAACATTACTTCCTAAATATAAATTAAATTTATAATTTTAAACCCATTTTCCATCTTATTTCTCTTCAAATTAAAGCAGTATTTATAGATTGATGTTAAGAAATGTTAAATACAGGGAGCTCACAAAGATGCACAAATTGAAAATGAGTAGCAGATACTGTAGTTCATGCAACTTGTCCAGTGTTTCTACTGAATAAATCGTAGTAAATCAACTTCAAACGATTACCACTAAGCAGATGGGAGTTAGAGGCACATGGTAGTCATCAGATATTTGAAACTGAATTTTAATCTCAGATTTCCCACAAATGAAAAAAAGAATTTACAGTCCTAACAGTGACTCTTTTACAACAACATAAATACTGTTTTGAAAAAAACAAACTTCCCCCAAAATAAAAAAAAAAATTACTTTTTCATCAGCAATCTTTCCCTGTGAATAAGTAACAATTTTAATCAGTTCTTCTCAGTACTCAACAAGACAACATCAAAATAACAACAACCATTCCATCCGTGGGGCTCAGCTGCCTCACTAAGCAGACAGTTTCTAATAAAGTGTTTTTGTTTCCTTCATGTTTCTACTTATTTTAAAGTTCTAAGGTGTTAACAGTGCTCCGTTTGAGATCCAGAAAGAGTGTAGATTGTAGTAACAGTCTGTGTGTAAGGGAGAGGTGAGGATGGTGTTAGGGGCTAGTGCTCTGACCATCAGAAGAGGCTGGTCAGCGTTGTCTGTGATGGACTCCGGCACTCATGTACATCCATACCACCCGGCACCGATGTGAGTACAGAAGTGACAGTAGGCATGGTGGGGTTGGTCAAGTCTGTAAGTGTGGTGGGGGTACTAGATGGGCTCATGGAGGCATTGGAGATTTCAGATGCCGGACCTGAGGGCGTCCCCCCTTGTAACGTGGAGCCGTCTGATGCCTTGTCCACTCCAGTGCTCTCCTGCCGCAACAGGTTCCTCCTGAACTTGGCCCGAGCATTTTGGAACCAGACCTTCAGAAAGAAAGGAAGGAAAAAGTAAATCTTAAAGCAGGCCTACCTGTCATGACCTGACTCAAAGTTTTACTAAAAGAGGCATAGGCTCTAAACAACCTCCGCTTAGGCACCTCTCTAACACCTATCAAACATTCCTGAATTATTTAGCTTTCACAAATTAAACGTTTCAGCTAAAAAAAAATATCAGTATGGAAATATCAGATGCATTTAATTAACAACTAAATATGTGATGCTTTCATTATTATATATTCATAGCAACTGGAATGATCTTTTAAGTAGGAGGTGAATAGGCTCTTAATATTTAGTAAAGCAAATACAGAATTATTTAGTAAAATATCTGGAATATTATAGGCCTCAGTATGAAGCTTAATGTTTAATTTGACATACTTTGTCTATATTTTATAATAAAGTAAATCATTTCTGACTTGTGTTCTAGGGTTCACACGGTCATCAATAAACTACGGTATTAACATTTTAGATGACAAAAGGCAATCAACCTTTGAAAAAGCCTCATCATACTGACAGACAAAATATAAATGGTTCTATACTTCGTGACAATACATTTCCTTTATTGGTACCTTCCTATCAGGACTAAACTAAAAAGCTATTTGTTTTTAATGAATCTGCATGAACAAAGAATGTTATGATACATGCAGATATTTTTAATCAGGTCACTTTTGAATTAGAGAACTGTAAAAAACATGTGAACTGATCAACGCTGTGCTAAAATATTAACACGACTTATACCTTACCTCTACATGGGAAAAAAAAAAAAAAAAACATAAAAAGGGGCAATTGTGGTTTTCCAAAAGTATTGCTAAAATCTTGTTCGATTGGACATATCATTGTTCAGAATAAGATAAATCCTTTTGTATCAGAGACAGCATTTTTCTCAAAAACTAATTAAACCATTTAAGATTTTATAGTATTGATTAATTCTGACCTCAATGATCAATTGAGAACTATAATTGGATTACATTAAACTGTTCTTCTAACTATTGTAGGTGTTTCCAAGTTTTCCGACGGTATTTGGTTTATTAATATTTTTGAAATGAGTCCCAGGCCTTTGGTGTTAGAAGCTCCTAATCATCATTCTAATACTTAATTTTATCCACAGATTTTTTGTTAGAAAAGTCTGGACTCTTGGTGGACACAAAGCATTCATATTACTAGGAGTTGGAAAAATGTAATTCAAAGATTACTTCAACTTTACTTTCGACAAGGATGTCAATAATTGTCATCTAGATCAGTGGTCTTAAACATTTTTAAGTCCTTCGATTGTTGGTAGAGAGAGCAAAGAATCCAGAGGTTAGGAATGGGGGGATGTTGCAGTCTTTAACCGCTGGTTGAAAAGTGCTGACACATGTACTAATACCAGGCAGCAGTGAGTTGCTGACAACAGATACTAAACCTGATAAACTCAAAGGGTTTTGGAATTAATTTTCACCTAAAATGCTACAAAAACTTAAATCAAGAATAGTTACATATTTATCTATCAAATTAAATAGATAAGGGTGATTAATAATATAGCTACATAAAACAGAAAATGAAGGATAATTAACTAATCAATCAAAAAAATATGTGATATTTTTGTATTGGAACAGTTTTTTTTAAAACAGAGGAAAACAATACTATAAGGGGAATTCCAGTGTCGCAGAGTAACCAGACATGTTTCTTAATAGACAAACTGGTGCTGAAAGGAAATCTATATAATTGATGTTACATTTTAACATCATATCCATGGGTTACATTGTATTAAGTATTACATCTCACAAACAACTAACTATTATTTTCATTTTAATTTTAATGTTTTTATTATTCCATACAATTCAACCTTCCTACACCCAGAAGGTCTTTGAATTTTCTTCCATTCATTTCTAAGGCCTCACCCTTAGCAGTACATAAATTTAAATTTGGATTCCAGAAGGAGCAATGGGGCCCTGGTGTCGTTTAAATTGGAAAAATGGGACCTTGCACTGTAAAAAATGCCAGAAAGGAAAATACAAAGAATCATTCAAAAAAATTAAGCTATGACACAATCCCACCTGTCCTGCCTTGAAAAAAAACACAAAAAAAGGCATGACCAGTTAAAGGCTTTTAACCTCAAAATTTTATAAAATATCTGCTCTATGCAGCTCTGTTGAGGATTGCTTTGGATTAACTGGGGATTTATTAGGTCTCTTTTGGCTACTATTAAAGATATCCACTTGAAAGGTTGGGAACGGCCTTCTAGAATCTGACTGTAAGGTTCATAGCAACAAATCATTTGCTTAGAGATAAAAGAAACTGAAAACAGCCTCTCCAGACACAAGACAGAAGAAAAAGTAACATCAGACTTTTTTGGTTCTGCAATTGGTCACCCTGATAGGCACCGTTTGGAGAAAATAAAGCAGAGATGTGAAAAGCCTTGAGGCTCAGAGCTTGCATCAGAACTTTTCCCATTTTAAAAGTGATTTTCCTTAAGCTACAAAAAAACATGATAGATGATTATGCATTGCTTTCAACTGAGGGACAGTCTCTACGTAGAGACACACCTGTTAGGCACACAGATATGTGAAACAGAAAAGTCTCCATCATCTGGTTAAACTAAAAGCCTGGTTATAAAATTAAAAAGATAAAATGTTTGAATATGATGTCAGACCTAAAAAAAAAAAAAAGGATATCTGTACAGATTAAATAAATATTTATTTATTTATTTTTTTTGTTCCGCAAATGTTTCCCCAAACAAACCGGTCAACGTGATTGGCCGCTTTCAACTGCTCCAAAGGCCATGTATTTGTTACCTTGTTGGGATAGTGTAAGACCAATTTCCCAGGAATTATGCTACTTTGTGGGGACTGAAAGGTACCTATGGGAACCAGTTGTCATCTTGTGTTGGGGTTGGTTTTAGGACTAAAAATTGAATAGAACTGGGTTTAGTTGAGGGTAGGTATATGTTGGTAATGGTTAGGGTTAGAGTCTGTGTTGGGCTGTACTAACATACCGGTATGTGAAATTCATTTAAGTGAGTTCAAAGTCCCTGTAAGGAAGGCGGGAAGTAACGTGTGTTGGTGTGTGTATGCAGAGATGTCTGTCTCTGGGATGATCTAGAATTCTGTGTGAGTGTATGCTGCCTCTTACAGCTCGACTGCCGATATGGCCACCAGCCCCTATCGATTCCTACTCCAACCTCTTCACTCTGAACAGGATTAGGCAGGTACAGAAAATGGATTGAAGGGATTTAGAAAGCTCCCTGGTAGATACCACAGCCTGCAACTCCGGCACAATCTCTTTACTGAGAACCTTACTTGACTGATTTTAGCAAAGACATGAAAACATGCAGAAAATAATGACCAGGCCCTGCTCTACTCCTTCCTTTGTTATTTCTTTTAGCTCGCCACCTTAGTTTTCTGGCTCATAGCTTTGCTTCCATCAGAAAGCTTTTTAACCTCTAAAGGAAAACTGAAAGAGCAGGAATAGGACAAACATGGCAAAGCATTTCACTGCAAAAATAACTTTCACTGATATGGGATACAGAGAGCAAAATCGAAAAGAAAGAAGAAAAATAATGGCCTAAACTGCAAACCTATCATGAGATTCATGTGCTGATGTTGGACTAATGTTCCTCAGATACTGCACACATCTTGCAAAAAAATGAAAAAATAAAATAAAAACCCAAATCAAGAGGTTTGCATTACTTCAACAAACATGCTGAACAGGTAAGGACATTTTTACATGACTGATTCTACACATCGAAATCATTTCATTTCAGTTATTTATAAACCACTGTGCGCCTCTCAAGACACTTCCTTTATAAATACATTTATAAAATAATGCTGCTTTTTTAACAAAAAAGCATTGAAAGCATGCATGTATGTATGATCTCCAGCAGAAGAAGTTTCCCCTTCCTGTTTGCATCCAACAATGTGCGTATCTATCTGTCTTGTAGAGCCTTTTTGCTGATGTTCTAACTGGGGTCTGGGATAGGAGGCATACTTAAATAACACAAAGATGTTGTGCTCTTTTTTCCTGTGCAAACATTATAAAAAGTCTTTAAGCTTCAATGGATCCGCAGAAAAATGAGACGCTTATTTTACAGTATCTTTCCAGTTTTTTTTTTTTTTTATTGTTGTCACACCGTCACAAGTTCAGAGCAACAAACTTAACTCTCTGCATTTAACCCATCCCCTTGGGGAGCAGTGGGCTGCCATTGTGCGGCGCCATGGGAACAGTGTGGAGTTAAGGTCCTTTTGCTCAGGGACCCAGATTGGAGGCTGGGTGAGCGGGACTCGAACTCAGAACCTCAGGATTCCAAGCTCAATACCTGAATCACTAGGCCACCACTTCCTCATTTTAAACTTGTACATAAAATTCCAGAGCCCATTGCTTCCTTTATTAATTGATTATGTCAGAAAATTCTAATTGACCCATCTGTGTGGCATAAGAGCAGCTATGACTTCGTCCTTTTTATTCTCATGTTTGCAATGCTGTTTTTTTTTTTAGCTCTCCAAGAAACAAGACTGGCCACCAGCTCAGCATTGAAACCAGCATCCAGTGTCCATTGATTTTCCTTTCTAAAAATTAGCAACAATAATCGTAATAAAAAAGGTACTGTAGTGTGTATGAGTGAGTGGGACATTGTTAAGTGCTGAGACAAGTGTTGAAGTATGTTAATGACAGAATCATGACTGAGCCATGGGAAACAAATAGCAGAAAATACTCTTCAGCCAGAATAAAAGGAAAACACATCGAACCAAAATAACAACTTTGAGGCCTATAAGCTCTAATTAAGGCGGTAGGGCATAACTTTTCTCATTTTCCCTTTTTTGTTTTATCAACAGCTAGTTAGATAACATTAAATTAGTTTGGAAATGAAACACCCTGCTGTCATGTTATTCCATATAATAAAGATTGTTTTCTTCTTCCTCTTTCAGTCAACATCAGATCCTTTATTACAAACTGAGTTGCAGCAATGGGTGAATAAGTGTTTGTGAGGTTTTGTTAAAGAGAATACTTCCATTTGTTCATCCTATTTAATAAAATTGTTGATTTTTTTTTTCCTATGATTTAATTTTCAGATAAAAATTACAATACTTGATTGAAGCTTGATTTATTATTTCTTTTATTTATTTATTATTATTTTCTTCAGAAAATTTTAGAAATGTGATAAACAGCAATACTTATTTATTTAGAACTTATTTATTTATTGAGCTTTTGGAAAGAGGTTGTTTTGCTATGGCGACAGAAAACAGTTTGTATTAAACACTTAAGGGCAGCTGCAGCTGAGCTGTAAAGTGATACTCTTCTAACCCTAAGTCTGCAGCCATGTTTATTTTGAAACTTTATTGAGCTATATTGGTCAATGTTTCAAATGATTAAGGTTAAGTCACACATTTTATATAAACCTAAGAGTGCTCAAGAAATAATGTGTAATTTTTCCAACTTGTTCCACCTTTCAGCAGTATGAAAATGAGCTCTGATTAGATTCCATTGATATTTATGCCCCCTTTTTGAAAGATTTTTTTCATACTGATCATTTAAAGGAGTTTTATTATGTTTTCTCTATGAGACTGCTCATTGGAAAAACAAAAAACAAAAACAATAAAACGGAACTACTTTTTTTTGTCATCAAACATCACTAAGGTGGGACAATTACACCAGAAAAATATAATATTATACTATAATGTTTATCTCATTTATTCCATCAGAATTTGGGTACAACTAAAAGTCAGGTATGTTATAGAATAATAACCAGTATTTGCTTTAACCACATTTAGGTATCATTACATCTCTTAATTTAGACATTTATTTTTCTTCCACCTCTTAATTATTTTACATTTTGTAGAAGATAATGCTGTATTTTCAATATTTATTCAAGTAAAGAAAATTCTTGATAGTATATGTTTTGTTGGGGGGGGGGATTTGTGGGTGAGTTACCCCATCATTTTACAATATTGCGTAAAAAAACATATGTTTAAAGAATCGTCCCGTATGAGTGTGAATCATTTCTAACCTAACTTGCTGGGACAGCTCCTTTTTCTGTTTTTTAACACTAGGGAGGACCCTACATGTCAGAGGCTAAAAAGTTTACCTGTAAAACCCGCTTGGTGAGGCCTGTCTTCTGGGCAAGCTGCTTTAGGTCCTTGGCATCTGGATTGTGGTTAATAGCAAAGTAGGACTTCATGGTCCGCAGCTGATGGTGCTTAAAGGATGTTCGCATCCGCTTGGTCTTCTGACTGGAGCTGTATTGAGAGTCGCGGTCTATAGACTCAGCGTCGTTCTCGTTGCAGCTTAAAGCTGTGGGTAGGAAGGAAAGAGGGCAGGTTGAGACAGTAGAACAACATCATAATCGCTTTGGGGATCTTTTTCTGGCCACTGATTAACCCTAACTATATCAAACACCTTAATGTAATTAACATTTTATAGTAAATATTAAATATTATATATATATATATATATATATATATATTTGTGTTTATGTGTGAGTGTTGGGTTGCGTGCACGGGTGTGTATGTGTATATGGTGCCACTACAAGAAGAAATAAAAAAAAAAATGTGCTTTTATTATTCACACCATCCACTTCAAGTGTAAGTTTGATCCAACAAGTGCCCCTTCCAGCTTAAGTTCAAATCCCCTTCTTGCCACACTGATGTTTGCCTCCTATCTCTGGCTTCCCATCCAGGGAAGAGGTGAAAAAGTAGCTTAGCCAAGCATGTGTGTGCTCCTAAACACACAGAAACCATTGAGACAACAGCACACATACAGTAAATTCATCCCAGCCTGCAAATTTCTTGGCAATATTTAAGGTGTTGCCGCATGTATAACAGTTCAGTATCGGAATGTTGTAAATGATGAATATGAAGTGAGCGAAAAGCACCAGAATAACACTTTACTTAATTAGCCCATACGCACCAGGCAGAACAAATGTTGTTTTCTGGCCAAAGCATATGCTTAGGCGCTTTAACAAACAAAACAGAACCAAAGAAAAGGAAAAACTGTAATCCTAATGCTGGTTTCCCTCTAACTTCAACAAACTGTGGAGACAAAGTTTCCTGATGGGGCCTGCTCAGGGGGTTACCCCATATCAGGGTTAATCAGGTTAAGCTTGGCTGTTGTTTTTGACTGGAAACAGTAGAGGGCGCACTTCTTCTTCTCTCTCATTGCTCTTCAGTCACCACCCTCTTAGAACAAGTTTGTTCCAAACTAAAACAAGTTTGATTTGTTGTTTAAGACTAGAGAAATGTTTGATTACCAGAAGACAAAGATTTGCAATAAAGCCAGAAACTGCTTATGAAGCAGGAGAAAAGTCTGAGCAATTGAAGCAGCTTTTCAACTTAAGCTGCAACTTTAAAAAAAATGGATGAAAAGAGCCAAATTATAACAATAAACCCACCTCATTAATATTCTAACTTTGTCTTATGTAGCTTCAGATCTTCACATAAATTTTACTAATTTTCCGAAGTTATAGCAGTAAGCCTACAAAGCCAAAAAGGAAAACCAGAAAAAAATGCTGTTAGGAGGTTACCATGCTGTCTGCTCCCTCTTCCAGCGAATAACCCATCAAATCTCATCGATCTGGCAGCTACACTCCAATTCTGGCCTTGTCCCAATGCAAAGAGGCTCCAGAAGTGGATGTGTTTTGTGCGTGTGTTTGTGCTTAGGAAGGGTTTAGAAGAAGGGAGATTGTTTGGTTGTGTAGATTTGGAAAGAGCCTGACAAGTGAAAAAGGGCATTTGCAACAGCAGGAAGAAGAAAAAAAAAGGAATAAATTTCATGAAAATCCACAATCGAATGACGTGTATTTGTATCACAAATATGTAAACTATAAGAAAATCAAAAATACACAACTTGAGTGGATGAAGCTGAACTTCAGTTGCAAAATGGGCATTTATTCTATTTTTTTTTAAGAAAAAATTGAATAAATGTTTTTTTTCTCCAAGAATATTGTTAAATCCTTTTTTTCTTTTATTCTTTTAATTTTCTTTTTTTTTTCTATTTTTCATAGTAAAATTGTATCATTTTGCAACTTCTAAATGCAGAGTGGTGGGTTAGACATGGACATGACTTTTAATGCATTCTTTGAAACTCTCATATAATCATTGCACATAAAAGTTATCTAAAGTAGAAAGGAGATTTTTTGCTATTTTTAAATAAACTTTTTTTTTTTTACAAATTTGTTGAGAAACCATGTTTATATTTCTGTATAACTGACTTTGAAACAGTGATAATTCCTCTGGAGAAAAAAAAAATTCCAGAAAACATTTTTGTAGTTAAAAAAACGATAGAATTACTATAGATTTCTATGAGACTATTATTAATATTATTATTAGTAGTAGTATTGCAGTTGTTCATGTTTTCCTATGTCAGGATATATGTTTTTAGCCTTGATCCATCTCTGAAATCTAAACTTTGGTAAGAAGTAAGTAATATCGTTAAGGAAAAAAAATAATAAAAAAAGGCAAATAATCGTATTTGTATTTTCATATTTCTGAAGTAGCAAAACAGTCCATTCTCTCTTGCATTGCCGCACAAAGATTGTGCAGAATGGTTTCTTACCCGCATTGTAAGCAGCTAGCTCGGCCCCAGGCCCCGGACTCTTCCTCTTTCTGGGCCTGCCCTTTTGCACAGTGCCCACTCCGTTAAAGTAGGATAGTCCCAGCGCATTGGCCGGCCCAAGGCCCTTGTGCGCTACAATGTCCGCGTGGTTAAAGTGAGTCTGGTATTCTCCTTGTATCAGAGTCTCAAAGTGCAGGCGGCAGTACACCAGGCTGTCCTTCATGCCGAAGTGGTCCCCGGTGGTCAGCATCTTGCTGCAGGTGGTGCAGGTGAAGCAGTTCAGGTGATAGACCAGGTCTCTCGCGCGCATCACCATCTCCGAGGCCGAAATGCCCAGGTGGCAGCGCGCGCACCTCTGCACTGAAAATCTTCTGCGGACAAAACAGAGTCCATTAGCGGCAGAACCCCCATTCCATGTCAGGAGGAAATCGCTGCGGAAACAACTACTTCTTCAAAGTTAGAACCAAGTTAAATTATATATAACTTTATTTAAATCCACATTCCTTCATTATTCTCTCACTTTCCAAATTGAGTGGATCCTCTCATTAATAAAACCACGGATCCTTTTGACGTTTGATTGTTCTTTTAAAATGAAATCCTAACCTGATCTTTTTTGATAGGATTATTTTCTGAGACTAAGTAAATTTAAGAAAGGATTTAAAATAAGCGTTAATTTTGAAAAGACCTTTATAAAATGTTCAAAACATTTTTGTCACCCAAGCTGCCTGTTCTCTTTAACAAAGCATTGAATACTTCGAAGTTGTTTATTTCATTGCTAGTATTTCGTAATATGATCACTTATCGCTTAAGACAGACGCAAAAATAATTATTTCACAAGATGACGGACTTAACTCATTGCAACCATCTTTTTCTGCAGTTGGCATCACATCTTCTACTGACTTTTCTTATATCGCGTTATGAAGGAGTGGGTTGAACTAATCTGAAGCTTTGTTATTAGAAAGATCTGAACTAACATTAAACTCCAAATTCGGCTCTATAGAAACAAAGGTGAGTAAAGTAAAATATCAACATGATTTGTAGGTTTATACACAAATCAATGCAAAGTGCTTTACAGAAAACAGTTGGCAGATGTTTCCCTTATCAATTTAATGAATATGTAAAGCTTTAATGGGAGCAATTAGAGGAGTTTGTATAAGTGTACAAAAACTCATGCATTAAAATATTCCACTCTGCAGCAAGATTATGCGCCATTTAGGCACTAAATTGATTACAATTAACTTGAAAAAAATAGGCACATGCAGCTCTGTAGAAGCTTTCTTCTTTCGTACTCAACGAACTTTATTTATTATCAACCCCCCCTCTCTCCCCTCCTACCTATAGTAGTCTTCTTTGCAGTATATGCTGCCGTCCTTGCTGAAGCAGGTGAGTTCGGACTCCAGGTTGAGCTTGCATTCACAGCATTTGAGGCAGCGCATGTGCCACTGCTTGTCCACGGCCAGAAGGTAGTAACGGTCCGCAATCTTCCTGCCGCAGCCCGCGCACAGAGCCACGCGTTCGCTGGTCACGCAGGGCATGGCCTGCGACGGGCACCACATAGAGGAAAAATAAATAAATAATAGCAAGTTTAAATATTTACAACAGCTGAAATATTTGGAATAAAACGTATCCAAAATGTTTAACAAGGAGTGAGGATTTTGTCTGTTTCTAGATATCCAGACAATTACACATTTAACAGCAACTAACTGTTCCCGAAGACGTAAACCTCACTGGAGGGGGCGCGTTAATGTGAAATTATTAATAACACATAAATAATTGTTTTTGAGTTATTCTTAATAATAAACATACCTTTATATCATATATATAAATTTGAATAATTTAAACATTTGCAGAATTGCATATATCCAATTTCCTTTTGTGTGCATTCACTCATACGTCTCTGGTTCAATTAAGAAATGTACTAAAACAATTTCTTCTCAAAAATACATGTCCGCTGGTTTATTAGAAGCTTTGGGATTTTGACCTTATTTTGCATGGATGCCTCTGAGATATTACACACGTCTAGGAACACATGCTTCTTTTTCAAATCTCCATAATTATTTAAAGTGCAGCAAGATAATGGAAAAGTTTTCCCACCTAAAAAAAAATAATAATCAAATACTAAATAAGCACAACGGATAAAAATGCAATTATTATTTGTTAGAAAAATATATTCATGTTTTCTTTAATAAATATTTAAATGATCACATTTTAATCCATTCTGTGATATGTTTTTTACATCAAATGTTGCAGTGAACAATTTCAAAATCACACTGAAATAAAGGTTTTAAAAAAGGTGATACTATTTTTTTCTTTTATATCTTACCTGATTTGTTTTGACTTTATGCGCCAACTTAAAATCACTACAGGATTTCACTAATGCGGTTTAATATAAGGGAATTTGATGGAAATGAAATTTCTCCTCGCTTGTTGATTACTTTTTCTTTAAAGTTAAAATAATTAAAAAGTAGTAAGCGGTATAGAGCAATCACATGTTTACAAGCGGCCATGCTGTTTACATCGTAGACAGAGAAGGCCAAAGAAAGAAGAAAAGAAGTCTCTTACCGTTTCGGATTCTCCCATGTCGATGGCCGAGCTGATGGCCGCCGACTCGCCCTTTCCTCTTCGCTCCATTTCTTCCACCACACCGTGGACATCGCCTCCGGGGAGGCCATGGAAAAGCATCGTTGCTGCAGAAGGGAGGATGTTGTAACTGTTCTCTTCGGATCTGCAAGCCAAGATGTCCATCAGAGGCACAGAGCCTGCGCCGGAACGCAGAGGCGACGCTCAGTTTTCGGGCTTTTCCTCGCTGCCGATGACAAGTTAAAAATCCAGTTCAGGAAAAAAAAAAAAAAAAAATGAATGAAGAAAAAAATGAATACGTGTTCTCCTCACTACGTCTCATCTGCCAATGGCAACCATCATCCGAATCTCTGCAGTTCTCATTATTAATAAGCTCTAATTCATTTTTTATCACAAATTTTCTCTCAGTAGAAGGGTGTTTTTTTCTGTTTTTGTTTTTTTGTTGCTTTTTTTTTTGCTTTCACAATTTTCCTTTTCTAGATGATCTTATCCATTGGTGAATCATATCCGTCAGTTAACATACCAACTATTGAACGTCCAGTTGCAGGGCTCACAGCCTGCGCCTTGATGAGAGAAATTTTATAGGATGTCGGCTCTGTGAAAGGGCACTAGCAGATTGTTCTCTGCAACTATATCGCAAGAAGAAAAAAAAAATTATAACAATAAAAAAGTTTGAGATGAATTATTCTCCTCCTGTAGTGTAAGTTAAACTGAAAAAAATAATAGTTAAAAAGACGCGGCCTTTGCGTTATTGTCCCGTATGATGTCTTTGGGCAGCACTTTCCGTTGCACAGCAGCCTGTTTAGTTCTTGTGGGCTTATGCCTGAAGATGCGTTGTGCGTAACGGCAGCGGAGGAGGAGAAACAGGATGGGGAGGAGGAGTTGGCTTCACGCTCACTGACTGTCCGCTGAACCCACAACTCCGGTCCTCCGTTTAAGGTCCCGGTTGGACCCTCCGCTCCTTATCTACGGGCCATCTTGCGTCATGACGCAGCGTTTGTGTTCATTGGTTCCACTACCTTCTCGGAACAGTTCAGTTGTGTATTTTCAGATAGAAGGAAGCAGGTCTGAGTGAGCGTTTGGCAGCAGCAGCGGCTGCAGCGGTGCTCAGTGTCCGCAGCTGCGATTCGAATAGTCCGCCTCAGAAAAAGAAGGGGAGGTTGTGTTTGTGTGTGGGTGGTGGTGGGTATGCGCTCGCGCGCACTGAAACAGTCTGCTGGGACCTTTCCTCTTCCCAACGCCTCTCCTCCACAGCCTCAAAGCGCCCTGTGCGCAACTTGTCCTCCATCTCAAAGGCCCATAATAATCCTGATGTCGTTCCTCATTTGCTTTTCAGTTTTGGAAAACATTTTAATTACGAAACATGTGAAGAAAGAACAACCAGATGATCGCGGATTTTTAGACAAAACTTTTAGCAGATCCCTAAGAACAAACTTTTATCCTTATACTTTCGATGTATTCGCGTCGTCTATTTTATTCAAGTTTTCCATCTTCAAAATGTAGATGTGGAGTTTCATTCGAGATTAAAATGTATTTGTGGAATATGTAGCCTGAATAACACACGTAGGTATAATCAATAAATGGAGCCCTTGGTTCAATGAATGGGAAAAATTTGCCTTGCATTTAGAGTATGAACAGTGGTAACACATTTAATTAAAAAACAACATATTTTTTAAAAAAAAACTTTTCTATTTTTCTCTTAGCAATAGTCATTTTCTCTCCAATCTTTACTTTCTTTCTCGGATTTTACGTCACTTCCCTTTTGGATAAATTTTAAATGCTGCTTTTCTTCCTCAATCCTCACCTTTATTTACAATTTTTTCTTGGAAATGTAAAATATTATTTTAAAATGAACGAAATAGGAAAATTATGGAAAAAATAATGCCTAAATATTAGTTATGGTAATTCTAAAAAGCCCAGCCTAGAATTGGCTTTTTAGACTAATATATGTAAAAAAAAAAATAATTCACACATCATCCCGTTGTATTCGTTTTTTTCTCTGCCCATTTCTTTTCTATGTTATTATTTCATGTGCGTGTATGTGTATTTTACTTAGATGTGCGGAAATTTCCCAGCCAGTGACTGAAGATCATTTGTGGCCCAGGAGCCCGACTGGTTTGTCCCTGCAGCCCCAGATGGAGCGGAGAGTCTTGGTAACAGCAGCTGGGGCTGCATGAGAGACAGCGCTCAACTGATCCCGGATCCACTCGCTCTAATTAGCTCTCTGCTCTTAATTGGATATTTTGGACTTGGGGGGTGGGGTATGGGCGTGAGGCCGAGGGAGGAGGGGTGAGCTGAGGTGGACTTTGTCATCAGAGGACGTGTTTGAGGTTTGATCCTGCTCCAAAGACGGTTGGAGAGAATGACACGTTATCACATCTCTGCTGCGCGGCTGCTGGTGTTTAGAGAACGAGATGAAGCAGTAGATGAAGAGACTGAAATCCATACAGCTGTTCAATCTGCTGCTCAACCTGCTGACCTGTTCAGCCTGGCATCACAGTGAGGCGCTGAATTATACTATTTGTTCTCCATGTTCCTTTACAAAAAAAGACAACAATTAAGAGAAACTCTACCTGCACCCCCACCCCATTTGCTTCCCGCCACCCCCGTGTGCATAACAGCCACCGTTTAGGCTATTGTGAAGTTTTATAGCACAAATATGATGTTAAGCCCCTAAATCCTCATGCAAATCACCTCCCCTAATACCCTTAATTGAATACATGCATATTTATCATCTGCGTTTTCAACTCGCTATAAGGCTGGCTTTATACATAAACATAGCGGCAGTGGGCATGTCTGCAGGCGTAGAAGAAAGATGATTTTAGGCTTAGATAAAAAAAAAAAAAAAAAAATAGAATAAAAAAGTGTTTGTATGGGTTCATTTGTAAAAACCTGAAATTTTCCCTCAGAATGACTCGTCAGCCCTTCTGTAATTATCTCACTAACCTGAGCCAGAATAGCGCAAATCACACTAGTTAATAACAGTGGTAGAACGCGACATGATGCGCTTATTTAAAAAGGGCCACATTAATGTTGTACACACACACATACCCCCCCCACACACGCGCGCGCGCACGCAAAGACACACTCCATTGAATACTTTGCCTTTGTTAACCTGGGGAAAGCAGGGCCACATCTTCAGAGCTGATGCCAAATGGAGAGTAAAAAGACGGGTAGTCAGCACACTGCACCGCTATAAATGCCCGATCTGTCAGGCTGCAAGCACTCAATGCAGTGCTGAATAAAGGCCTCCCAATTAACCCTGGCAATATAAGTTTATATTAACTAACTAAAATAAACTCCTAGACTAACAGATTAAGCTACAGAGAGAATAAGATGAGCAAACTAAGCCACATTTAGAAGTAATATACTAACTCGCAAACCAGAAGCCTCCACCAGATTATTTATTCCAAATAAATTTTAACTAAAACACATGTTATTCATATAGCAATGATAATAAAAGACTATAAAATAAAAGGGAAAAAAAATCCAACCAGTTTACCATATGTGCTAACAAAATCAAACTCCTCATTTTACACCTTTTGATTTAGTTATGAGGGAAGATAAGCAAATACGTTTTTTTTAATTAATTCAATGACATGATAAAAAAGTTATAAACTTTTTGAATTTGTCTTATAAAATAGTGTGTATACCTTCTCTATGACACCTACTGCTAAGATTTGCCATTCATTGCCTACATCTGCCTCAAGTTCAAGCTCAGCTTGCTGCCAAGTTTGACTTTCTGCATTGGCTGATCTGTGAAAGATAAATAGGGCCTACAACATCCTAAAACTAAATTCTTAAACACAACATTCTAAAACAAAATTCTTAGGACTCTCCTTAATGTTTACTATGCTAAAAATAAAACATAAAAACACTGTAAATCCTTAACATATTAATAAAAATTTACTAATATTAATGTGTAAACTAAACTCTCAATAGTTTTTTCAGTATTTTCTGATTAGAATTATTGTGCTTTTTGCTTTGTTTCAATAGACTTTAATTTAACTTTAACATTCAAGTATTCCTGACTTAACACCTATATTGCAGTTAAACCCAAAACTATTAATACACCTGCCTAATTTCCTACACGAACCCCATGAAAAGAATTTAAATCTGACAGGAGTCTAAATATGTGAATATTTTGAATTAAATTGGCAACAGTGTCCTATATCCTGTATGAAATAAAGACAAAATATTGCAAAGACAATCCCTCAATATTTTGAGGGACTTATCTAAAGGAACTAATCTGGAAACATGTGGGCTACAGATGCAAAATGAATCGTAACAACAGCAGTAAAATCAGAAAAAAGAACCCCATACAAATGCTCAAATTTTAGATGGCAGTAACATGTCGTGTTGCTATTCAAGATGGATATATAAAATTAAATATCTATTGAAATGTTCAAATGTCTGAAATAACGCTGTAGGCAATAAGAGTCCCAAAATTGTATGAACAACACAATGGCCACACCACAAAAAAGAAAAAAGATATTGGAATAGTCTGATCAGGGTCCAGAACATATATAATCAATACACTGTTAATATATATTTGTCGTTTATCTAACTATGATGATTGGATTCAGCAAGCTTATAACTTGTCCTTCATTCATAAAAATTTAAGGGAAACAGAAATCGAGCTGCATAATTTAATGTTAAACAATGTAGAGAAAAGTGTTAGATTTAGAAGTTGCCTCCTGGTTAAAAAAAAAACAGTGTAAACCAAATCCATGTAATATCAGTAGGGCAAAATTTGACTATAATCATCAATAGAAAACAACTTTATTACACGTCTCTTTCTTCCCAGTGCATCCTTATGCTTCCATCTTGTTTTTTTTCTATCCCATCAACAGATCAAAAATAGACAGGTTTCTCAAAATAAGGGAACATATAGACAGCGACACAGTAGCTATCTCATCCTTAACTGTAATCTGTATCAACAGCTTGATTTAGGCTCTGCTCAATACAATCAAACACATTTTCAGCATTTTTTGATAATCTTTTAATACAGTAGGAGTTAGAATTGTCAATGCAATAATACTATGGCAGAAAACAGTATTTGATGTTTAATCTAAGTTTTTTGTTGACAGTTAATGCTCATGTGTGTGTGTATGTGTGTGTGTGGGGGGGTATGTTTGTGTGTCGGAGAGCCTGCCTTGCTGTCAACAAACAGAATGCTGATGCAGCTTCTCTGATTACTCCTTGTCCCATAATGATTTCCATGCTGGACGCTCATCAATAACACAAATCTGCATTTCTCAGAAAAACATCTTCCTCGTCAGGCTCCTGGCATCTTTTTGATCTTTTGCAGCGTTTAATTGTATTCTCCATAAAGGTAGAGGATGGCTCTAATGTGATGCTGCTGTGTGGAGGTGGGGAGCGGGTTACACGGTCTCTTAGGAGAACTCGGCTTTAATTAAGAAAAGGAACAAAGCAGGGGAGAGTAAAAACACATGGAGAGTGTGTGTTGGTGTGCACGTGTGTCTGTATGGGGGGTCACCTCACCATTTTGTGTGCTACATTCATGCGACTGCTGCCACGTAAACACTGAGTTGGGATGCCCTGGAGAAGTTACATGTGTACAAACAGAGCTGTTCAGACAGCACACCTGAGCCTCACATATTAATCTAATCAACAGACTTCTTCAGGATGGGAGGAGACAGTCTTCACATAAGATATGACAGAACCATTACAGACAACTCAGTACAGGCAAAAGCATGTTTAAATCTTACCTCACAGGAATCAGGGTCCAGGATGTAGACACCAGGTAAAGATACATAGTCCATGGAAGAGAGGATAAGATTCTCTCTATCAGCTTGATGGAATAAAGACATTTACTCAGGTATTAAGGTAACTTTGGTCTGCTGTATTAATTATTAGGAGTGAAAGAAAACCTTATGGGTTGCATATTTGAAATAGCCCAATATTTTTCAGCAGGGTTGTCCATTTATTGTCCACAGGTGATTTTTGTCGGATAGAGTGTATTAGGCTATCGTGTAAATTTGAGTCCTTTTCAATTGATGCGAAACATCTTATTTTGAAGTCAGGAAGTAGTCGTTTGCTTAAACTTGTCATGTTGACAGCTAATTTGGTTCATTAGACCAAGTTGCAGAAGCACTGAAGA